ATTGCTAAATCTCGCCTCATCCAAGCCCATGAGAAATTGATGAACCTTCTCTTCTTCATACTCTTTCGCATAGATCTCTGCTGCATCACACTTACACGCCGGGATGGGTTTGCAATTGAGCAGCTCTTCCCATTTTTGAGATAGTCTCCCAAAATAATCCATAACACTTGAACCATCTTGCTTACACGAAGCTAACTCTGACTTGAGCTGATGAACTCGTACGGCACTTCCCACTGAGAAACGCTTTTTGAGCTCTGTCCACATCTTGGAAGAATCCGGTGTAAAAGGCACTGTTGATCTGATCACCGGTGAGATTGAAGCCCTAATCCAACCTACGATCATGGAGTTAGCCGTCCTCCACATCTCAGCTTCAACTGGGTTCTCCTCCGCGTCAGGCATCTTCAAACTTCCTTCCACAAATCCGAACTTTCGCTTGGCACGCAAGGCATTCTCCAATTCTGATGCCCACTCGGCATAGTTTTCTCCACTCAAGATCACAGGTGTGATCGATGTACCAGGGTTGTCTGATGGATGTAAGTAGTACGGGGACGTCGTACCTTCCATCTTTACGCCTGATGTACTCACCATACTTTTACCATCAACCATGTTTCTCTCGTCAAAGAAAAACTCACAACTAAAATTGACCTAATTTTTGTGTGGCTCTGATACCATGTAAACAAGAGAAATATGGGAATAATAACTTGATATTTACGTTCCCTGATACATGACTTATATATACATCACGACTTAGAGATAGATACAAATCTTCTCCTACTTATCTCACTCTATCTTATACAACAGAATATACTCTTCCTATATCTTCTCCAACATATGTCGGTTCTAGACTACTAGAACCTTAACATTGTTCAAGCCAACCACCTATTACTTTGATCAAGAATGGGAATCCATCGCATCGTTCCAATATCTGCAATCTCCACCACACGTCAAAAAAAACAGAAGAAGCAAGTATTGTTTGTACCCCCACCCCCACAACATTGACAATATATTAGATCAAGGCTCAATAGATAAATACCTCCTGGAGAAGATGTTCATACTCTGCATCAGATGTGTGATCAGGTCGCGATGCACATTGAATGAGGAGGGTCTTGGCAACTTCCTTTTCCAAAGTTCCCAAACGATAATTATAACCGAAACCAAGCAAGTCAGGCCGAGAAGTCACCAAGATCTTGAGATTGGGTATGTCAGTGGGAAAATTCTCAAGAAAGAACTTAGCTCCAGCCGACCAAACATCATCCAACACCAACAATATAGGACCGTCTTTTATGAGTCCATGTAGCAGTTTTCTTAAGGCAGTAGCTGCTTGTGTATTGTTACCAAATGAGGGGGCTTGGTAACCGTTGTGCTCGAATAAATCATTTACAATGACCCTAAAGTTGGGAGTACTTGACACGACACTAAAGAAGACATGTTTGAACTTCCCTGCCAAATGGAAAGCAAAAAAAAAACACTTTAGATGACGAGAGAGAAACTACGAGTTAGTTCCAGGTGTAAAAAGTTTTTGAAGGAGATTGTACTTTTGATATCTTGGTCGTGGCAAAGTTGAGTAACAAGCGTGGTCTTGCCGCAGCCGGGAGGAGCACACACCACAAGTATGTTCAAGGAATCATCAAGGACCTTCGTCTTGAGCTCCATCAATGGCAAATCAAATCCAACGGGAGCCATTCTCAGCTCTGGAACCGAACAAATCTCCTTCTTAAAATTATTGTTATTGTTATTGGCCAGTACCATAGATTGCATCTGGTTCCTTAACATAAGAAGCTGTATATCCGTAATGAATTGCTCCATTTCTCTTGTGAGCTTAGAAGATCTCTTCCACCATGGGACGTCTCGACTTTTATGAACCACAATCTTTGCTCTTTCTATCGTTTCCTTCAGTTCTGAAACATCAAGGTTCAGGAGATGTTGCAAAACATCCATCGTTTCTGTTAACGGGACCAATCTCTCCATGGTTGATACAAGATCCATTGATAAGGGTTTGACCTTCTTTACCTCTTCAATAACCTGTTTCAGACCCTCAGAGACCATATATTGCATCTCGTTCCTAATCAGAAGAAGTTGCATATCGTTGTTGACTTGCTCGATTTCTCTTGAGCGCTTAGATCTCTTCCACCACGGGAAATCTCGACATTTATTAACCACGATCTTTGCCTTTTCTATCGTTTCCTTTAGTCCCTTTAGTTCCCCAACGTCAAGGCTCAGCTTGTTTTGCATGGAATCGATCTTTTCGGTTAACGGAACCAATCTCTCCATGGTTGATACGAGATCCTCAGACAAGGGTTTGAAATTTTTGACCTGCTTTGCCTCTTCAATCAACTGTTTCAGACCCTCAGAGACCAAACCACCCCCGATCATCTCACTCATCCTTGCTCTTCTTCTTCCTTTCCACGAATATATAGATAAGTTACTGTCTGAACAATTGAAAAATAAAACTCTCAGATTTTGTGTATGCTTAGCCAACTGTAAGATAATTGAATGAATGACGAGATCAAAAGGGCAATGTTAACGGTTGAGACTTGTTTAACAAGTAATCTGTTTATCTCACTTGACTGATTAACCTTGACACAGGCTTCTTGACATACACGCTTCTTGTTGTTTGAGTTTATTAGGGTATCTCCAACCCAAAGTGTTTTAGAGTGAAAAACTAATATTCTTTTATTTTATCTTCTATCTATCATAGATTAATTCTATTTTATACTGAACTATTGAAGCAAAAATTACTCTAAAATAAAAGTATTTGTCCAAAAAAAGAGACAAGATTTTTAATCCAATTTACTTACAATATATTTGGGAAAATGACGATATTTTCAAAGATTCACTATTATTAAATGTATACAAAAAATTTCTTAAACAAGTATTTCTCTATTTAACTAAAGACAACACAATAATAAGATAAAAACTTAAGTTTACTGAACTTGTATGTATAGGAGATGAGATGAATTCACAATCCAAAAAAGAAGAAATAGTCTGTAACTCTTGACCAGATTTTACTTTGCTTCTCCTCAACCTTCTATAAAGGATGAAGAATAAAGATTCTGTAAAGTTACCTAAATATAAATTATTAGAAGATATTCAAATGAAACGTTCCTAATTAATTCTTAAGATTGTGTCTTTTCATTAAATTATTTTGTTAATAGGAATCTTGAATAATTCTAAAGGTTGTGTATTTTTATACGGATCTCAATTCTTGTTAAAAGTTGTGTTTGTTCAATAATGTACCTTTTTATAAAAGGTTGAATCTCTTCTTTGATAAAAGTTGTGTTTGTTCAATAAGGTATCTTTTTATAAAAGGTTGTGTCTCTTCTTTGATAAAAGTTGTGTTTATTCATTAAGGTGTCTTTTTATTAAAAGATGTGTCTCTTGTTAAAACTTGTGTTTTTTCATTAATCCTCATTAATTCAAAAGGTTGTGAATCTCACTGAATTAAAAATGTTATGTTTTCATTTTAAATTTTGTAAAATTACTTTGAAATAATGTGCCTGTTAAAAAAATGTAGTTTATTTGAAAGAATGTGATTATTTTTTAAAAACATAATATTTCTTTTTTTTTGAAACAATGTATCTGTTAAAAAGTTAGTTATTTTGAAAGAAGGTATCTATTCAATATATATATAATATATATGAAAAATGTATTAATACTATGACTATTCATTAAAAAAAACGAATATAATTTGAAAAGTTGTAACTTTTGAAAGAATTCTTTGAGTGTATATATATAATATATGTTTACAAATTCTGAAACTAAAGTTTTCACAATCTAAAAATAAATGGTGAAGAATAAAGATTTTGTAAAGTTACCTAAATATAAATTATTAGAAGATATTCAAATGAAACGTTCCTATTAATACTTAAGATTGTGTCTTTTCATTAAATTTTGTTTATAATTGTTTATTATACATTTTTGTTCATAACCATTTATGATAATTTTTCGTATATATTAGTTTATGTCGTTTCAATTCAATTATATTATGTTCTTTGTGTTTCCATAACCGTATATTATATTTTCCATTCATTGCTACCCTTTGACTTGGAAAATTGCATCTTTTTACAATTGTGTCTTTTCAATTCTATATGTTGTGTGTCTGGACAATATTATTTGCTCTATCAAATCATAAATCTTTTTAGTTGAAAAAACTGTGTTTTTCCTCTCTCGGTCCCCAATTTCATCAACAACACTTTCTCAAAGTCATCTTTTCACAAGTTCCCTTCCGGCCGGTGTCATCATTCACGCACGCGATGTGCTCCTTTCATTTGTTGTTGTTGTTTTTTTTTTTTTGAAAATGAAAGGCTGATCTATTATTTGTTGTTTGTTAATAGGTTAGATTAATTAAGTTTTTATAAGAAAAACAATAACATTTTGTGATCTTTCCTCACGGCGGTTAAACACGTTTCTTCAACGTTTTTCAACGTCAGTTCAGTTTATGGCTATTATGGCCTCCTGTATTACCATCGTTTTATTGTATTACCTTCTCGTGACCACTTATATGTTGTCACCCAAATCTATTTGGTATTTGACAATGACAGCCGTGCCTCCACTCATGTCCATCTTCTATGGCGTCTTTTGCGTGTAAAATTTTCAATGTTGAAGCATTGTTTCTATCAGGAATAAAAAATGTCTATTTTAAAAGGGATAGATATAATGCTATCAAGAAAATAAATCATGCCGCAAGTTATATGCACGCAAAGTCCATGAATATTTTAGGTAATTTCCTTCTAACTGTACTTTTTAATATTAAACTAATAGCTTTAAGAGATTGTATCATTTTATCAAAAACATATATGATATTTATAATTAATTTAATAATTTTAAGATATATTGAAAGTCATATTTTCCTTTTAACTGTATTAATTCTAGAAATAATTTTAATATTAATTCCCATATATTATTAGTTTTGATATTAATTGTTTCGATTTTTTTGAAATAATATGTCCATTCAAAAGTTAGTTAATTTGAAAATATGTATTTATTCGAATTATATATAGTAGCAATGAAAAAAATTATCGAAACTAAATTGTAGTGAAGTAGATTTACATCGATGAAAACTCAGAATCATATATGTAATGTATACTGTTTTATTAATGAAAAACAGAAGCATACAGCATTACTTATATTTGCGTTTGGATGATGAGATGAATAAACAACATTACAAGACACACACAAGCTAGTGACAATGTTCTTTCACTCACAACTTAAACATGTGAAGCAAGTTGAGGTTGTGCTCTGTTTCCTCCTCTTGAACTGTCAAGTTTATCATTTTTTCCTCTAAAACTTCCCACAAGATCGACTTAGTTTCTTCATCGCATTTCACCTCCAGATTCTCTAGATTTCTCACTGAATCCGGCAGTTCACATTTCCAACACTTGTTCATGTAGATCTTCTTCAGCTTCTGCAGTCTCCCAATCTCTAGAGGCAACTTTCTCAATCCTAAGCAATGAGAAATATCCAAAAACTGCAAGTTGTTCAGTCTCGCAGTGGTTTTAGGCAGCTCGGTGAGATTAATACAAGAACACAACCTCAGCACTTCCAACTTACTCAAGCTGCCTATAGCTTCTGGAAGCATAGAGAGCTTATGACAGTTTGTGATGCTAAGTCTCTCCAATGAAACGGCTTCACATATCCAGTTAGGTAACTTCTTGAGATCATAACAATAGTCTATGTCAATCTCTTGTAAGCTCGATAGAGTTTTAGAGACATCTATTTCAATTTTGTCATGAGAAACCTCACCGAAACAACACATGAACAAAGACAGCTTCTTGAGGCTGCCGAGTTGCAACTGGAGAATGTCCAGGAAAGTGATTGAAACTTTCTCTACTCTGATCCGTTTGAGGTTCTTTAACGAGCTGAGATAAGACAAGTTGGTCAATGTTGCAAGATCAGAACCGCGATTTATGATAATCACAACCTTGAGTTTCTTCATTGTAGAAATGAAGCTTGGTAGTGCATAGTTTGATGAAGAGATGTTAAGAAGTAAAGCCTTAACATTGGGGAACTGGAATAAATTCATTTCCTCCCAACTCGATGAGAACAAATCATCTGTAACAAAAACAAACAAAAATTGAGAAGCGAGCATAGTGAGTGACAGGAGGAAATGTCATTACTTATAGGAATATCAGAAATAAAATGGATGATTGGTTGGACTATAAATGTAGATGTATTATAGCAGAACTTAGTCTGTATAATTTTTTGATTTAGTTGTATATGATGTAGTAACAAAATGAGAAAGAAAAAAATTTGAAAGATAATCATATATTCTTTTCTACACTTTAATAAATAGTGCTTTAGAAAACAAGATTTCTACAACAATTTCTTTATTTAGGTTTTAAACCCAAAAAAAAACAAAATATAATTGGTGATTTTTATGGACGTAGATAAAAAAATTAAAGTTAAAATACATACTTCTCTAACTGGTGACCATTAAAATAAAAATAGGAATGAGTAGGAAAATAATAAATAGGAACAAAATAAAAGGAATGAAAATGAATAATTATTACTTTGGTTCCATATCAATTTTGATAAGGATTGCTTTTGTTCTATAATTCCTTAGAATTCAAGGAATGACAAAGAATTATACGCATGAAATATTCCTTGTGAATGGTGTATTTTTAAGGAATAAGTAGGAATTGATTATTCCTCTTCGTTCTCTATGTTAACCACCCCTACTATATCAGTAAGAAAAATGACCTGTAGAGATAGAAAGGAAGCGGGCAGACTCTCTTTGACTCAAAGACAAGTCGTCAGGATAGTTATCTTCTTGTATCACTAAACTGAGTCTTTTTCTTTCCATGATTGGTTCTGATTCGCTTTGATGGATAGCAAGCTCCCTCAGGACATCATGTTGAGTGACAACGAGCTCATTGAAGAAACCATCTTCATCCTCATTTCTTCTGGTAATACAATTAAGTTCATCAAAAGGAGGTACATGGCAAAGAAACAATGAGTGAGACATAATTACAACATACCCGAGAGGAATAAGTTTAAGCAGGTTCTTGGAAGCAAGGTCATGGAGGTATTTCATGTACGCGAAACTACTACTAGTAGTACCTTTACCATATAGTTCCACCCATATGTCAATTATTACGGAAGCACGTATCTTATGGTCCTCAAGAAACGAACCCATGTCCATGAAACAGTCTTTAAGATGCTTTTCTAGGGTAGTGAAGCTAGGCAGCAGAAGTTGTAGCACACCATCGAGAATTGTTTCCTTTTCAGACCAGCTTTCCACCTGACATTTCCATAAAAAAAGACTTTTGTCTTTAAGTGAAACGCCAATTACTTCAATTAGTAGTGGAAGTCCATTGCAACGTTTCAATATCTGAAAAAAAGACCAAAGATGAATTTTAAATCTAATATCAGAAGTGTGTAAATTGTTAAAGAGATGAAAGTGATACCTTTGGGAGAAGTTGATCATACTCAGCTTGAGACGCGTTAAAAGGCAGCGGTGCGACGCGAACGAGAAGGTCTTTAGCATCTTTTTCATTCAAAGGTTGTAAAGTATAAGTGTAATCAAAACCTGGTAAGTCAGACGACCGAGAAGTCACCAAAACCCTATAACCTGGTAACTTGAACTGAAAATACTTAAGAAAATCATGCGCTCCATGCCACACATCATCCAACACCAACAATATAGGACCGTCTTCTGTGAGTTCCTCAATGAGATCTTTTAAGGCATTAGCTGCTTGAGGATTGTTCTCAAACGTAACTGCTTCGTAACCATTGTGCTGGAGTAAGTTTTGTACTATCACCCTAAAGTTAGGAATACTTGACACAACGCTATACAAGATTGTGAACTTATCTGCCAAAATGGAAGCAATTAAGCAAAGCACTTTAGGTAATGAGAGATATACAATTCCAGGTAGGGCTGTTCAATATGGTAATATTGAACCGTACCTAACCGAACCGAAATAGACAATATGGTTTGGATTTGGTATATACCATATAAACCGAATGAATATGATTTTATAAAAACCGTAGGATTTGGATATAGTTAGGTTTATAACCGATTAAACCGAATAAACTGAACAAAACCGATCAAAGAAAAAAATATATAAATATATACATTATATAACCATTTATTTTCTTGGAATAGTCTTTTTTAACTTTTTATTCCTTGTGAAGATATATCTTTATAATTTTATTTTATTTTCTTCAACTATTATCTGTGAAATTAGATCGTACCATGTAATTTATTTGGAAGAACAAAGAGAAAATAAGAAAAACTGTACAAAACTGGATCGTTGGTCGTTTTGTTTGTTGTTAATTTCACATTTTTATATTTATGAACACCTAGGATTATTTTAATAAATGATAGTTTTGACAATATGTTTTTTTTTTAAATTCATATATATAAAACCAAATCAAATAATAATGTTATTTGGTATAAAACCGAATAAACCGAAAACCGAAAGTATAAATACCGAACCAAACCAAATTAAATATGGTTTCTATATGGTAGCTAATTTTTATAAACCGAATAACCGAAAACTGAACCGAAACTAGACCGAACACCAGATTGAACAGGCCTAGGTGTAAAGATGTCTGTACCTTTGACGGCTTGGTGGTGGCAAAGTTTAGTAACAAGCGTGGTCTTACCGCACCCAGGAGGGGCAGAGACCAGAAGACTGCCCAGGGAATCATCATCAACGACCTTCTTTTGAAGCATCATCAATGGCAAATCCAGTCCAACATGATTCTTATTATCAAGTTTGGGAACTGAACAAAGGTTTCTGTAAACGCGCGGACGAACATCCAGAAGATCATCGAACCTCTTACAGATGGTTTGGACACAGCTATTCATGGCAACAAGCGTGTGTGTAAAGTACATCCCTTGGTCCCTACGCATAATTAGCTGTAGTTGAACTTGACAGAACTTGACCATCTTCTTGTTGACTTTGTTAACTCTTCTTGTATAATAAGAATTTAAGTGTATCTCCCACTTCTTGACGCCTTTACATTCCTGAACCAACACTTGAGCCTCACCGATCGTATCCTCGAGAGTCTTTAGTTCCCCAACGTCTAGTATCGATTCGATCTCTCTGACTATCGGGACCAATTCATCCATAGTCGTTGCGAGATCCTCAGACACAGATTTGAAATCACACACTAGCTTCGCCTCTGCAATCACTGTTGTCAGGAGCTGAGAGACAACAGCTCCTACAAAACCACTTAGCGGCAATTCAACCGCCTTGTTCATTCTTTTTTTTTTTTTTTAAAAATTTCAGGTTCACAAAACTAAAACTCAGAGTCTTGAAAAAAAATCTCTCAGATCTTGTGTGTATATATCATTCTGAAAGTCTTATCTAATCTGTTTGAGCTTTAGCTTTAATTTGAAACCAATCATATCTTTGTTGACTTTTCTTGCCTCCCACTTGCCGTGCAATTACTTACAAAATGTTTTTTTTTTCCTTCAAATTGTCGCACAGTTACCTAGAAACTGTCGCCACTTCATCCACCTTGGTCATCCTTGTTTAATTTCAGGTCAGACAAAACTGAACTCGGAATCGTAAAAAATGCTATCAGATCGTGTTTGCTAGATTCAGAAAGTCTTCCCTTGTCTGTTTTTAAAGCGTTAGCTTCCTCGTTGACTTTCCTGCCTCCCGCTTGCCGCGCAATTACATGTAAAAAAACTCTTTCGTTGGCCAAGTAGCCACATTATAAATTTATAATATAACGATTATATACATAATACATTGTAATGTGTACTTATAGTAAATAAAAATATACATACATACATACATACACCAATTGATTCCATTTACATTGGATGACATGAGAGACTATCCACATTACACAATGAGTGATTTAGTAAATTACCCTTATTTGAAGTTCAAATTAGCAAACTACCATTGATTGGATATAAAGGACACTGACACAACCATTTGGCAAGGAAATGCCGAGAATACCCTTTCTCTTTCCTCTCATTAACACGAAGCGTAAAAACATTTGTTAACATATAACACTTCTGTTAACGTCTACAATATTTGTTAACAGCCAACACATTTATTACCGCGAAGCGTAAAAATAATTGTTAACAGTTAACACGTTTGTTAACGTCTACAATATTTGTTAACAGCGAACATATTTATTAACGCGAAGCGTAAAAATAATTGTTAACAACTAACACTTCTGTTAACGTCTACAATATTTGTTAACCGCTAACACGACGTCGAATCTAAAACCCAGAAAATTGATATCATCAAAAAAATGTATCACTGAATTTTGTATTTCCAAATCACATTGAGNGCGAAGCGTAAAAATAATTGTTAACAACTAACACTTCTGTTAACGTCTACAATATTTGTTAACCGCTAACACGACGTCGAATCTAAAACCCAGAAAATTGATATCATCAAAAAAATGTATCACTGAATTTTGTATTTCCAAATCACATTGAGTAAATTTAAAATTTACAATTATTATTTAAGAATCAAAGTGAACTCAAAAATATTTAACATATTTATTTTGCATGTAATTCATTTAGAAAATGATAAGAGGAGAGAAGAGCATTGATAACGAAAATGAAAAAAAAAAGTGACATACTCACATGTAAATGCAAGAAGGAAGGAGAGAGAGAAAAATGACAATTTGATCAGACAAAATAAATATGTCACATCATGGGCAAGTGACTAATATACACCTCCATTTAAGATGTATCGGCCAATTAACTCTTACATAATTCACCACTACTCCACAAAGCTATGAAAATGGTTTTTTAATTCAACATGCCGGTGCCGTGCAGTTACCTAGCAACGGTGGGAGCGTTTGCGTCTGCTTCTACGTTAAGCCTCCGTGTCATCACATTACATAATTCACCACAACTCCACAAACTATGAAAATGGTTATTTCTTTCACACGTCACTCACTACTTAAAAAAGGGTTGTTTCCATAAACTTGCCGCGCAGTTGCCTAGAAACGGTTGAAGCGTTTGCGTCTTCTTCTGCGTTAACCCTCCGCGTAATCATTAGAGTATCCACACGCGCCACAAGCCGTGATTCGGTAGTTTCTGCTCTTTGTGCGCGTGATTTTGGGCCACCATTTAAATCAGCCCATTTAAATAACCTCTATATTTACAAGGGCTCATAAAACATAGAATAATTTGAAATCCCTACATGACAATGGCTGATTTTATTATACTTTCAGAGCCGCAGAGAAACAAGATAAGAGAGACATAGCATGTGACAGTCCATTATCATGATATATTCCACATGTCCGAATATTGACAACTCTTGTTGACTCTTGTATATATCACTTGATTTTATATCTAACTAGGTGATTAGAAGACAATAAAAATGATTAGTACTAGTTTTTTTTTTTTTTGTAAAACAATTGTCTCCCACATGCTTCTTATTGTGTCCTGAATTTTTTCTCCCGACAACATTCATTATGCTGCCTAAACGCGATTGCTTTTACTATCTTCTTTGGTTAGTCGTTTTTTTGGTATCCGTATTATTCACCTAAGAAACATCAAATTTCATTGTATGACATTTTCCAATAGTTTCTTCTATTTTTCTCTTCAAAATAGAGTGATTGTATAATACAATTGAGTTATTCTCTAATAATATTATATATTTAATGTAAGAAACAGAATCATAAACAAAAAATAAATAGCTTATTTAATATATAGAGTAAGTTTATTTTTTATTCTATTATAATGTAAAATAGAATATTAGTATTGTATTTTTACTCTAAATTCTATTTTAGAGTAGAAAATAAAGTGGGATTGGGGGTTCTTCTAACTAAATTATAGTTTTTACTTTATTTGACTATATGTAATACGTTTACAATGGAGTTGCGTTTTCTGATTTGCATGCATGGAGTTCACGCAGTTTTTCATATGATCCGTTAGTTTATAATTGAATATTTTAACAAATTTTCACATGCATCTAATGTATGCTACTTTTTATATTTCTATAATGATATTGCATAGTAGTGAAGTTTTTTAAAATATATATGTTTTTTGTGAATATATTAAAATATGTTAATAGGTCCAGTCGGTGGTTTTCTAGCCGCGCGTTCTAAGAATTTCAAATGCATGCGAAAATAATAAAAGTATCTTTAATCAAAATGCAGGAAATCAGCAAAAGTGGCACATCATCCAATAAGGCAGATGACCATAACGATGATAATAAATAGACACATTACTATTCTTTTGTCAAGGATAATATTTTTCTTTCAAAAACTTCATCATCACATTGTGTAGAAACTAGAACGTTCGAAAGTAAAGCTTCGCTAGCCTGCTTGGCCGTGCGTGAACATGAAGAAACTACAAGAAATGCGAATCTAATCAGCGGCGGACATGATAATCTTTTCGCAAAGCCTCTCTTGTCTTTACTCATTTTTCTTTCACTCTCTTTATTCCTTTTTGACATTTAAATTTAATTTCATTTGCCTTTTTTATGGCAATCGTTATCGGAATTGTCGAATAATGAAAGCTAAGCTTTGGCTGGAAGCAATTATCATGAACCAAAACGCGTTAAGCCATTCACTTCACTGCATTATCCACTCTATTTTTTTGTTTTCGCATCAACAACTTTATTGTAATTTCTATTCAAAACTTTATTTTATTTCAATTTTTAGTTTTAATTTTAATTTCCTTAGTAACCTAACCAGACTAACCAGCAATTCAAATGTGAATGATACTGTGAGTAAAGTATAGATTTAATTTGCCGACAAGCATGTAAAAGTTAATAGACATATATTTTCCCGCCTGACATTTAAGGGTGTAAAAAGTAGTTGAAATTGATTTACGAAGAAGTTGGATTTAATTGCTTTTGACCAAAACAAAAGCAAGAAACTGATTCGAGATCTCTCCACCGTCATTTGATTGGAGCCACCTTTGTTACTTTTTTCCTCTCACTTACCCTCAACTTTCGCTATCTAATTGCATTTTATAGATCAAAGAAGTCCCTTCATTTCTCATACCCATTTCAGGAGAAGAGCTTCTTTTATTTCCAGCTGTCTTCAGTCTCTCTCTATCTCCCTCTTGTCTGCATCATTCTTTTAGGAAGCCATGAAAATGGCATTCATTACTTTGCATCATCTTCTTCTTCTTGGAGCTTTAGCTTTGCTGAGCTGTCTGGTGTCAGTGAAAGGAGAAAGCCCTTACAAGTTCTACACGTGGACTGTCACTTATGGCGTTATCTCTCCCCTTGGCGTTCCTCAACAGGTAAGAAGCACACAACAAGATCCATTGTTTTTGTTTGATGCTCAGACATTATTTTTTTCTCTGTACTGATGTTCTGTTTGTTTGCTTGTTTAAGGTTATTCTGATCAATGGTCAGTTCCCTGGTCCAAAGCTTGAAGTTGTTACCAATGACAACATCATCCTCAACCTCATCAACAAACTTGACCAACCATTCCTCTTGACCTGGTAACCTTTTATAATATTTCTTTTTTTTATTAAACCCATAAAGATTTAAACATTACCATGTTCACATAGAATGTATCCTCCTTTGTTTTGTGTAATCCAATTGAAAAATGTGTCTTGTATTAGATGATTAGGGTTCTCTCAGTTCCTCAGAAATGTTTGATCTTTAGGGTTTTTGATATTTGTTTCAATTATTTTTGATTTATAGGAATGGAATAAAGCAGAGGAAGAACTCATGGCAAGATGGTGTTTTAGGAACAAACTGTCCAATCCCACCTAACTCAAACTTCACTTACAAGTTCCAAACCAAAGATCAAATCGGAACTTACAACTACTTTCCTTCCACCTCTTTCCACAAAGCAGCCGGTGGATTTGGAGCCATCAATATCTATGCAAGGCCTAGAATCCCTATCCCTTACCCTCTCCCTGTTGCAGACTTCACTTTACTCATTGGTGATTGGTTCAAAACCAACCACAAAACTCTCCAACAGAGTTTGGACTCTGGTGGGGTTCTTCCATCTCCAGATGGAATGCTCATAAACGGACAAACCCAAACTACACTCACAGGAGACCAAGGTGAGATTTGTAAGAAGAAAAACTTGTTTCTTTGAGTGTCTTACTTATAGTTTTTGTGTTTAATCTTTCAGGGAAGACTTACATGTTGAGAATCTCCAATGTTGGATTATCAAGCAGTTTCAATTTCAGAATCCAAGGACATACAATGCAAGTAGTTGAAGTAGAAGGTTCTCATGTCTTGCAAAACGTTTACGAGTCTCTTGATGTTCATGTTGGACAGTCTTTATCAGTTCTTGTTACACTAAACCAACCTTCTAAAGATTATTACATCGTTGCAACCACCCGGTTCACAACTTCCAAGCTTTCTGTTACTGCTCTGTTGCGTTATTCCAACTCTGCCCTCCCAGCTTCTGGTGACACCCCCTCTCCTCCTCCTGAAGATCTTGATTGGTCTTTGAACCAAGCCAGATCATTCAGGTGGAACTTGACCGCCAATGCAGCTAGACCGAACCCTCAAGGATCATTTCACTATGGAACAATCACTCCAACAAAATCATTTGTATTCTCAAACTCAGCTCCTTTGATCAACGGGAAGCAACGCTATGCAGTGAATGGAGTCTCTTATGTTAACTCGGAGACGCCTCTTAAACTCGCTGAT